AGAGTGCTGTGGTCGGGAGGTAGTGCCTACAAAGGCAACTTAAAAATTATTTCAACATTTCAATTGAAGCCTCGCCCAACAGATGGCTTTTTCGTTTCGACTAAACGTTCAACCGAGTTCTACAAAAGAAATTTCTACATTTGAGTTTGCCTCGCTAAACCAAACCACAAGAGTTGGAAGGAACCATATACACCTGGACCTTTTATCTTATAAAGTACTGTGTTTCGCGTTTCTAAAGGGTGAACGACAAAAAATATAATCTACAATTGTTTATTTAAACCAAATATTCAATTAAAATAGTCGAAACAAACATGATAACACAAAATTTCCGGTGCTCAGCTAATTATATTAATTATAATTGGTCGTTTAATTGGTTGGTTGGTTAAGTTAATTATTTAAAAAGCCAATGTACGTCAAGCCAACGTTTGTTTAAGCCGTTTAATCATGTTTAATAATTTCGTGAGATGTGTTTGTTACTACACTAATAAACATTTTGCCATACCAAAACTTTAAAAAAAAACCAATTTTTTTTATAATTAATGTTTTGCTCTTTTCAAATATTTTCTAATTTAAAATCGTTTTTTAAGGCAAAATGCAAATATTAATAAATGTAAAACACCAACAAACTCATAAATTGTAGGAAGGAGAATGAAAGAAATAGATATTCCAGTTTGAATGGCATGAAAATAATTGAATAGCTCCCCCTATTCTAAAATAGCAGCCAATCGGACGGCAGAAAAGTCACCGACAACAATTATATATGCACAAGAAACTCCACCTTTTTTGCATACATTAACATATCCTTATTGTCAATCTTCTGACGGTGACGATGTTTTGTTCAGGCTTTATCTATAGTACGTAGGATGCAAGTTTGGCTGAGAAAAATCGATTTTAGAGTTGTTTCAATGCCGAGAATATTTTTAATGAAAATTTCGTGTAAAAACATCGCTGCCCAGATGAAAAATATTTCATATAAAATAAATTTAATAATTTAAAAATTGAGAAACGGAAAAAAATAAATTGATGCTGAATATAAAATATTCATTTGAAGAAGAGATGTGTCAATCTTCCATGCTTTAATACAGCAATCAGCAGCGAAACATTCAAAAAATAAAATTTGTTACTCACAACAACACAACATCAACACTACAGAACAACGCATCGCAAACCAATACAACTACAACTACCCACAAAAGTAAACCCGCACAACAACACAAGCTCAAAACTCTACAACGACAACAACAGCAAACAATAATAATAATAATAACAACAACACACGAACAACAACAAAAACATGAAAACAACGACTCATTTAACAACGCCACAACACAGCCACGCATCGTCTCCACACATGCACACGCACGCACGTACACGCGCGCACGCACACATACATTTATTAGCACACGCACGCACACA